GCTGACGCCCCGCCCCTGGGAGCCCAGTGTGCCGCCCCGGAGAGCCTCAAGTCCCGCCCTCGGGAGCCGCCCGCCTAGTGCCCGTGCAGCCCGGGACCCGCTGGGCCCCTTCGCAAGGTCACGGGCACCCCCAGGCATCTTAGCCGCAAGCCCCCGCGGTCCCTCTAAGGTGTCCTTCCAGCCTGCTGGCCCAGCGGGGTTTAGACCTGGGAGAGCTGGCGGCGTCTGCCAACCCCGGGGCGAGGAGCGCTTACGGGTGCTTTCGCTGGGACGCCGGCGGCTCCCAGCAGAAGAAAGCGTGTGAGTCAGTGTCAGCGTGCGTAAACGCTGAATCCCGCGTTACCAAAGTCCCCAGACAGGCAGATGAGCCCCGAAGGGAATGTGCCAAGAGTGACTGTATCACGGGGTTTTGTCTCTGGGGTCTTCCTCTGCGTCCCTGAGAGGTCTGGCTTCCGCTCACCTTCCCAGCCTGGCACACGTTAGGAGCTCACCAAATGAATGAACGTTGTGAACCACCCAACTCACAATGCCATGTCACACTTCCTTTGTGTGCCTTCCACAAGCAGGAAATCATGCATCGGGCCTCAGATGTGATACAGCCCGATGGTTGCCATGATTTGAGAGAGTTGAGAACCTTGAGAGGAAAAAGCCACTGCTCCCAAGCTCTTCCGCCAGGGTGACCGGACTCTGCCGAGCCTCACGCGCCCGGGACAGCCTCGTCTCCTTCCGCAGCTGGCCCGAGTCTTCTCTCCACACCAGCTGGGGTTGTTTCCTGTGGCTGCTGTCACAGGTGACCCCAAAGGGAGGGACTTAAATCTTTCCTCTTCCAGCTGCTGGTGGCCCCAGGTATTCCTTGGCTCGTGGCCACATCCCTTCGGTCTCTGCCTCTGTTCTCACCTGGCTTTCTCCTCTGTGTGTCTGTGTGTCTCCCGTTTCTCTATTACCAAATAAGGTCATGTGCACAGGTTCCAGGGGTCACGACACGGGCACGTCTTTTAGGGGGCTACTCTTCGGTCCACAATACCAACCACCAGCCAGAGGGAGCTTCCCGAAACGTAAGCCGGAACGGGCTCTGCCCTGCCTACCACCTCCCAGGGCCCCTTCAGCTAACCGCTCTCGGCTCCCACTGCTTTGCCGTCCGTGCCAACAGCCTGGCGCGGCTCCCCGGAGGTGGTAGTCTGCCACCTGAGGGTCTTCAAAATGTTCGGCCAAGGGGAGGGACTCGCGTCGCCTACCCTGTCCCCAGCTCTCGCTGTCTGCGGCAAGGCGCGGGCCCCCTGGGCGGAGTACCTGTGTGCGCTGCGTGTTTGTACGCGGGTGCCCGTGCACGTGCGGGTGGAGGGACTCAGGGCCCCAAGCCCCCTGTGCAGCTAACCCCCGTCATGCCTGGAGCACCGTGTCACTGCTGACTGTCCCCTACCCGAGGCCGAAACCCAGACCATGCAGAATGGCGGCCGAAAGCGGCATACCATGCACACACACTCCCTACACTCACCCACAAACGTGCACACGCATCAGGCACGCCCCCCTCCCCGTGCACACACGGAGGGCTGCACCGTGCATACACGTCACACACCCGAATCCTATCACTCTGCCCTCTGGCCCCCGGGCCCGGAGGCCTGCATGTGACCTCCTCATCCCCTGTGTTTGTCAGTTAAACGCCGGGCTGGACATCCTCCCCCCCCCCCCCCCCCCCCCCGGGCCTTTTGTGGTGTGAAGTCTCAGCTCAGCAAGTAATAGGTGCCTGTGAATGTGAGTCAAGGGAATGACTCAATGAACACATTAATTTTTAAAACCCTGGGTCACAGGGCACCCTCCTGGCAGGCAGCCTGGACACAGTGGTTGACAAATGAATAATTCACTAGCCACCAGTGGGAGCCAGCAAACCTCCAGGCTGCTCGGCTCTCCCACCACCAAGCCACACCCACGGTGCCGGCCCTCTCTTCCCGGTCACCTGTCACCACTCCCCCGAAAGTGGCTTCCCCCCTCTCACCACCCACCCATCCCCTGACCTTGCCCCGGGGATTATCTCCAGACCCTGTACAGAGAAGGATTCTGTGACATTTGCCAACACTTCCTCCAATTGCCTTGGCAATGGCGCCGTCTCCTAATGAGGGAGGGAGGGCTCGGGCTGAGGCTCAAAGGGTGGGGCAGAGAAGGGAGAGACGCACTGGGGGCGCAGGGGAGAGGCCGTGCCCAGGCCAGGCCACCGGAAGGCTGGGTGGTCTTCATCGAACACAGAGGATGGTTTCCAAAGTGCTGACCCTGCCCACCTCCTCCCCAGTGGCCTTCACCCTGGGAGCGGTCGGTTGGAGAGCAGCGTCATCCAAGTCCAGTCCCGTCACCTGTCCTTGGAACCTGAGAACGTCGCTCCGCTGTAACCCCTTCTTGCCCACCTCGCCCCCTCTCCTCCAACACCTCCCGGGCCTCCGATCGCTCGCCGTCAGCGAGCCCAACCGCCTTCCTCTGGGTCCGCCTCCGGGTTTCCACTGCCCTCTTCCCTACTGCCCTTCTCAGCTCCGCAACTCGGAAGCCGTGGGTGTCCGGAGGCGGGAAGTCCAAGACCAGTGCGCCGGGACAGTTGGCTTCTGGTGAGGACCCTGTTCCGGGTTGCAGAAAGCCAAGTTCTCACCGTGTTCTCACGTGGTAGGAGGGACAAACCACCGTCTGGGGTTTCTTTTATAAGAGTACTGATTCCACTCATGAGGCTCTGCCCTCGGGAGCTACTCAGCGGGCCCCCTCCGAATACCATCACCTCGGCCATTCGGTTTCACCGTGCGGGTTTGGGAGGAGGGACACATTCAGACCCTAGGCCCACCGAGGTCATGTGCCACTTCCAAGCTGTCTCCTCCCAGCGACACCTGTGGCAGGTGACCTCCCTGTAATGCAGGGTCTGGCTCCTTACTTTAAAGTGTGACAGCCGACAGCTTCGAAGCCTCATCCTCCCTGTCCCTTGTGCCCCACACATGGGCCAGCTGATGTCAAAACCTCCGGGCTCCCTTCCTCGGCATCAGAGGGGAGTTCGCACCACCCACAGGAACCCCCGCCCCTGCTCTAGCTCCAAACACGACAGAGACACCCCCGCACCCCCTGCCCGGTCTCCTTTCCATGTCCTCTCAAGTCGTCTTCTGACCACCTTGGGGACCTGCCGTGCGATCCCAGGAAGCCTCAATGTGTGAGTAAGGAACCTTTTCAGAACCTCTTGGGGGTATGGTGCCATCGGTCTCCATGCCCAAGGCAAATTTGGGGTGGGAGGTCAATCCGTTTCTAAAGGGGGACCACAACACACTCCTTCCTGCCCCAAACACTCTCCTCTTGTGGACTCATCGCCCCCACTCTCCTGGCTCCCTGCCTCCCTCCCCCACGGACTGAGTGCCTGCATGAGCCAGGCTCAGGCCTGCTGCTGGGACGAAGCAGACAGGGTCTCCCTTCAGTTGCCTTGCCCTCCTCCCCCACCTCGCATGCTGCACACAAAGCAACCTTTGTCAAACCAAAATCTGGTCGGGGGCCCTCCCTTCTCGGAGCCTGCAAAGCCATATTAGCTGCCTGGACACAGCTCTATTTACCTGGCAGGTCAGGGTTCAGTTTTACTAAAGAAGGTGGAAGTTTCCTTACAAGTGGGGAAACTGTGGGGATAATGGCTCTTGGTTAATCTACTACCTGAGATTATTTCCTTTTTCACAGTTTTGAGTAAAAACCAGCTCTACAGAGAGAGAGATTGAACAGCTCTGAACACCCATGAGATCTCGTGTGACCAAGTTGGACCCCAGAAGTGTGGAGAGTCGGCATGAGGGTTAGAAAACCCACTCCAGCAATATGCATGTACAAATAGCTGCCACAGCTCCAGAGACAAAAAGTAGATTCGTGGGTGCCAGGGGCTGGGGGAGGAGGGGAGGGGTGTTGGGGGAGCAACGGAAGTAACTGCTAATAGGGACAGGGCTTCTTTGGGGAAGTGATAAACACGTTCCGGAATTAGATTGTGGCGATGGTGGCACAAGTCTGGATATACTAAAAACCATTGCATTGTATAGTTTAAATGGGTGCATTTTATGGTATGTAAATTATATCTCAATAAAGCTGTTGTGTAAAAACATTACCATGGATAGCTGTGCCACCAAGGACAAAATCCTCCCATGGGGAGAAGGCGTTTCAGAAGGGAGAGCCCAAGACTGGCCAGCAAAGGGAATCAGAGGGCAAAGCTGTGCTGGTGGAGCGACCACAAGGTGTTTTTCGAAGAGCTAAGGCTCTGCGTGGACAAGCACACGGACCCATGCAGCAGAAGCTGACAAGCCGAGGGGAGGGCAGTAGGACAGGTGCAGCGAGGGTGGTGACACTGTGCTACAGAAAGGTCCGGGGACCCTGGGGAAGACAGAGAGTTCAGGGAAGACCCAGAGGTGCAACACATGCCCTCAAAGTCCAGAAATGGGCCTAACGGTATCAATTCTGAAACCCAAGACTCTGAGAGGCAAGGCCCCTTGACGAGGAAAGCTTGGGTCTGGTGGAAACATCCTGCCTGTCATTCTGCTTACCCGAGGCCCACCACCCAGACTGAAAGTCGATGCAGACAGACATCTTGACCGGAGTCCATCTGATGGGTGATCTCCTTAACCCATAGGCCACTTGAAAACAGAGACAGGGACCAGAGCGATGTGGCCCCAAGCCAAGGGATGCCTGGAACTACCGGAGGCTGGGAGACTCCTCGCCTCGTGCCCTGTTCTCGGAGGGAAGAAGGCCTGAGGAGGCATAATTTGTCCGAGGGCGCTGAGAAATAAAACAGATGAAGAGGGTGCAGATGAAGAAATCAGATCCAAGAAGGTCAGGTGGCTTCTCAAGGTCACCCGGCACATGGATGCCATTCCAGATGTGGCGCCTTGAGCTCCTGGCACAGTACTTTCCTTGTTATCCCGAATGGGCCCCATTGAGGTTGGAAAGTGAGGTCCTGACCAGTGTTGCCATCCTTGCCAGCGCCTCTGTCCTGTGTGCTGTGTCATCGTGCCCTGTACGTCTCTAACCGTAGCCCTCCCAGTGTTTCCACCAGACCCTCTCGGGGTTACTGTCCACAAAGCCTTTCCTGTGGTTGGGACCACTGAGGCTTGGGGCCACAACCGCTGCCTTCCTCACTCTCCCCCTGGCTTCCTCACTCCCATATCTTTGGCCGTGGGGCCAGCACAATGCAGATTTTCACTCACGTGTCCACCATCATTTGACCAACTCTGTGTCCAGGCTCAAAGTCCAGAGGGAGAATCTGATTGGATGAGCCTAGTTAATGAACACATCACCCTGAAAGAGGAAGCCACCTTTGGTCAGCTAGGGGCAGTCCAATGTTTGTTCTGGTCCCTGTGGAAGGGAACGTGTGAAGGGAGGCAGTGACCGGCCAACTCGGTTCGGGAGCCCAGGGACATCCATTCGACAGGGCCACTGCAAGCACACCTGCGTCCACTGCCTTGGGTCCACACTTTGTGCGCCACTCCCTTACACCTAGAAAGGGACTCAGAAAAGGACAAGTGAAGCCAGTCAGAGATCTTGTCTCTGCTATTTGTTTAATGGGCAGGGAAGTCAAACCCCCATGGCAGGCAGTCAATAGAGGCAACTATCAGAAGAGGTACAATGTTAGGGAGAAGTCAAGCAAGTGAAATGATAACAAAGTGCTTCTGGACTGGAAAGGGAAAGACAAAACTCTCTTCACGGATGATACAATCTTGTATACAGAAAATCTGAGGGAATCCACAAAAACCAACCAACCAAACAACAACCTATTAGACTGAATAAAAAAGTTCAGCAGAATTCTAGATCAATATATACCAACCAACTGCATTTCGGTACACTATCGAGAAACAATCCAGAATGAAGTTAACGGTTCTATTTACCATGGTATCAAAAAGAATAAAATACCTAGGAATAAAGGTAACAAAAGAAGGGCAAGACTTGTACAACAATATCAAACAAGATCTGAATAAACAAAAAGACATCTCAAGTTCATGGGTCAAAAGACCTATTATGAAAATGACAATAGTTTCCACATTGATCTACAAATTCAGCGCTATCCCTATCAAAATTCCAGCTGGCTGTGTGTGTGTGTGTGTGTGTGTGTGCAGAAATTGATGAGCCAATCCTAAAATTCACATGGGAATGCAAGGGACCCTGAAGAGCTAAAACAATCTTCAAAAGGAACAAACCTGGAGGATTCACACTTTCTGATTTTAAGTGTTTATTCATTTATTTTTCACGAGGGTGGGGGCAGAGAGAGAGAGGGAGGGAGAGAATCCCAAGCAGGCCCTGCGCTGTCAGCACAGAGCCTGACGTGGGGCTCGATCTCACAAACCCTGAGATCAAGACCTGAGCCAAGATCGAGAGTTGGACACTTCACTGACTGAGCCACCTCGGTGTGCCCCGTGATTCCTGTAGCTTGATGGTAACTTTTATTTTTTTTTTCCTGTTTGTATTTTATTTTTTATTTTTTTATATATGAAATTTATTGTCAAATTGGTTTCCATACAACACCCAGTGCTCATCCCAAAAGGTGCCCTCCTCAATACCCATCACCCACCCTCTCCTCCCTCCCACCCCCCATCAACCCTCAGTTTGCTCTCAGTTCTAAACAGTCTCTTATGCTTTGGCTCTCTCCCACTCTAACCTCTTTTTTTTTTTTTTCCTTCCCCTCCCCCATGGGTTCCTGTTAAGTTTCTCAGGATCCACATAAGAGTGAAACCATATGGTATCTGTCCTTCTCTGTATGGCTTATTTCACTTAGCATCACACTCTCCAGTTCGCTTGATGGTAACTTTTAAAATCAATAACTGTGTCAGGGCACCTGGGTGACTCAGTCGGTTAAGCATCCGGCTCTTGATTTTGGCTCAGGTCATGATCTCAGGGTCATGGGTTCTAGCCCCTCATTGGGCTCTGTGTTGGGCATGAAGTCTACTTAAAAAAAAAAATAAGCTACAGGCCTCGAGACTGTGTAGAACAGTCTGTGTAGAACTGAGAGCCCATAAACAAGAATAGCCTCTTCTGGGGCGCCTGGGTGGCGCAGTCGGTTAAGCGTCGGACTTCAGCCAGGTCACGATCTCGCGCTCCATGAGTTCGAGCCCCGCGTCGGGCTCTGGGCTGACGGCTCAGAGCCTGGAGCCTGCTTCCAATTCTGTGTCTCCCTCTCTCTCTGCCCCTCCCCCGTTCATGCTCTGTCTCTCTCTGTCCCCAAAATAAATAAATGTTGAAAAAAAAATTAAAAAAAAAAAAAGAATAGCCTCTTCTACAAATGGCACTGGGACAACTAGACAGCTGCCTGCACAAGAATGACATTGGATCCCCTATCTCACACCATATACAAAAATTAACTGAAAATGCATCATAAACCTAAACGTAAGAGTCAAAACTATAAAACTATAAAAGTCTTGTATAGTTTAAAAACTATCATACTCTTTTATAGTTTAAAAACTATAAAAACCATAAGCATAAATCTTTGTGACCTTGGATGAAGCTGTGAGATCACGACCCGAGCCGAAGTTGGACAGCCAACCAACCGAATGACCCGGGCGCCCCTAAACAGTTCTGTTCTGAGACTGGCTGGGTTGGAAGGTACAGAAAAAAAAAAAATTAAACGGTTCTGTGATCCATAGCACACCACCGAGAAAGTGACTTGTACCTGGAATATATAAAGAACCATTACAACTCAGTAACAAGAACACAAACAACCCAATTAAAAGGGGGCAAAAGATCTGAATGGACATTTCTCTGAAGACCGTATACAGTGTGCCGTGAGTTTGTGAAAAGATGCTCAGCACCACTAGACATTAGGGAAATGCAAATCAGAACTACAAAACAGTACTTCCTGCCTGCTGAGGTAGCTATCACTAAAAAGACATAATAACAAATGTTGTCAAGGATGTGAAGGAATTGGAACCCTCACACATTGCTGGTGGGAATGTAAAATGGTGCAGCCACTATGGAAAAGTTTGGCATTTCCTCAAAAAGTTAAATATAGAGTTATCATATGGCACGACAATTTCACTCCTAAGTATATACCCAAGAGAAATGAAAGCATATGGCCACACAAAATCTTATACGTGAATGCTTATAGCAGATTTATTCATGATCGCTTAAAAAGCGAAAACAACCCAAGCGTCCATCAACTGATGAATGGATAAGTAAAGTGTGGTCTCTCCATACAATGGAATATTATTGGGTCATAAAAAGTAATGAACTATTAATAGGTACTACAACGTGGACGAACCTTCAAAACGTTATACAAAGTCCAAGAAGCCAAACGCAAAAGATCACATACTGTATGATTCCATTTATATTATTTATTTTGAGAGCGAGAGGCAATGTGTGCGAGCAGGGGAGGGGCAGAGAGAGAGAGAGAGAGAGGGAGAGAGAGAATCCCAAGCAGGCTCCGAGACAGGGCTCGATCTCACGGTTCGGTTAAATGAGATCTTGATCTGAGCTGAAATCGAGTGCAACACCTAACCAACTGAGCTAGCCAGGTGCCCTGAATTGTCTACTTTAAATGGGTGAGTTGGTATGTAACTTATGTCTCCAGAAAGCTGTATTTGTTTTTAAATGAAAGCCAGAAGGAAACGTTTAAATTGTTACTGCCCTGGGGCAGGTCTAGCTAGAAGATAAAGCAGGCGGTCCTGAGTGAAGGCCACCTCCAGGGTCTCAGAGGCCCTGTGTGAAGCTGCCAGGGAGTAACGTCAGGGGCCAGGTGTCAGCAGGGGGGGGGGGGGACCGTGTCCCTGTACTGTCTTGGAATTTCCTGTAATTTCAAACCAAAAACAAAACAAAACAACGATGTCACATGCGCCGGCCTCTTATCTGGAGGCCCTGGAAGATTCTGCTTCTAAGTATATCCAGGTCATTGGCAGAACCTAGTTGCTT